GTACCCAATATAAGACACAGTCACACACTTAGAGTGCGTTGAGTAAACAGTTTATAATCACATTTGTAATGAAACCTGGGCAATTTGATAGGCAGAGGTAGACTCCCTTAGGCCTAGTGTATATTTAGAAAACTTGCACTGGGATCATTAACACGGTTAATATAATTATAGCAGGGGACCTTTCTAATGTAAACATACTTAAATTGGTTTTAATCAGGTTTAGATCTGTTTAGATTGTAATAAGTTAAATCAGTTTACCCATAATCATAGGAGTGACTGAAATGAGAAACTGAAAAGGCTTTTCAAGGTGATTTCCATCATCAATGACAGATTGTTCAGGACGGAGTGTTTTCTATTGTATCAGCTTTCTACATCCCAAACAATGGGATTTCTACTATGTCCTAGAGGAAGCTTTTATTTGTAAGACATTTCTCTTTCAGTCTATTTTGTTACTTTATTACTTCTAATTTTACACCTCCTTGTTCCACTTGCAGGGGTTCCGCTCCACGTTTGGTGTTTATATCCTTGTTGTATTTGGAGTCAGCTATCTCAGCCAGCACTTAGCCTCTTAACAACTAGTTCTCACTCTTTTCTCATTAGTCTCCTTACTGTCACTTATTTCAAATATCTTACACTTTGTCTGTGTCTTTCTGGTGCTCGGGGCTGCACCCCTTATTCCAGATGAGGACACAAGAGGAGAAATGTCACTTTCCTTCCACCTCCATTTCCCCAAAACAAATTTGTTATCACTGAGAGTTCTGAGGATCACCAAATATTCTCATTTTCTCTGTGACCCTGGACCAGCAAGTCAAACACCAGAGATTCTTGGGATTCTCTAAAACAGGGTGCCACAAGTGGCATGGGCAGCCTCTGGGTATGGCATGCATCAGATGGGGGGTGCAGGCAGCACAGTGGCAGATAGGGCAGGGAGCAGAAGGCAGAGCACCACATCAGGCAGGGAGCACAGGGCAGGGAGCAGAAAGCTGAGCAGGAGCTCTGGTACGGGAAAGGGTTCAGAGTGGCACTTAGGGAAGGTGCGAGGCTAATTCAAGGAATGCCTGCCACTGCTATAGAGGATTCTAGAGGAACTTCAAGGCTGGTGAATGCTAAAGTGTGTATTATTCCTGAGGAGAGCCAGCCCACACTCCAGATGATAATATGGGAATTACATGAATTCAAGTCATGTAAGATCACACCACAATAGTGGATTTACTGAAAGCCTCTTTATGGAGTATTGATCACTGCATTGAGTTGATTTGACCAGAGAAGAACATGAACTAATGAGGAATGCACTAACTCATTTGGTACAAACAGACAAAAGTGACAGTGTTTTCAAAAGTAGTTTGAGGTCTGTGATAATTACAGAGTGTAGCAAGAAGTAGATGATAGCCAGACCCCATCATTCAAAGGCATTTGCTTCTCAGCTCAGATATGAAGAGAGCTGTTTCTTAAGCCCCCCGAGGCAAAATTCTAAGAAGATTCATGTCTCCTATTCAGTCACCTTTGCCTGAGAACATGTTACTACTGGTAGGGCCGGATTAACACATAGGCAAACTAGGCACACGCCTACGGTCCTAAGTGAAGAAGGGGCCAAATTGTGCTTATTTTACATGTTATAATTATTGAGTGAAAAAAGTAGGGATCCACGAGTTTGTTTGCCTAGGGCCCACTAAAGGGTTAATCCATCCCTGACTATTGGGAAACTTTTTAACCATTCTCAAGTGTCCTGAGGGGAAGAAGGACTGTATTTAGTAGTCATGTTGGGCTACCAAATACATCCTTGAAACATGGAAGATGCCAAATTTTTGCCAATTTTGGATTTAAACTTCATTGCTGATACCTCCCTGCCTGTCTGCCATCTGACACCACCAGGGAAGGGAATGCTGCCTTATCTGCACATCAAAGAGCAACTCACAATGACACTCTCATGGACCCAGAGGAAGAGACTTCTACCTTCAGCTTCCTCTGTGCAAAAATGTTTATTTTCTACTTATGGGGACTTGCTACCATCTTTAATTTTCCCTGAGCCTGAGGAAGGGTGTGTATGCCTGAAAGCTTGCAGAAAAAAAATTTTTTTTTGCAGTTTCTTAATTGGTCTAATAAAAAGTATAATCTCTGAACCAAGAGTTCTAGAGTTTTGCATTTCTGAGGGGAAGAAGACATTGCAGGAACCTGTTGTACATTGACCCCATGCTCTGGAAGTGAAACCAGTGGCATATCAGTGCTGCTCAGCGCCCCACACCCTGGTAAGTGAAGGGGGCAGGGCCAGCTCTGATTTTTCTATGATAAAAGAATCAAAGGGAATGACGAAGTGTATAGATATTTAGAATTTGTTTTGTTATTGATAGAGGCACTGGTAGTCTTCCATATTGCTTTAAAATTGTAAATATATCAATGAAATATTGCCCAACCCGATCTCTCTCTATATAGCAGCATTTCATTTTAATCACAGAAAAACATGGATTTGGGGTATTTGAATGAGAGAATTTGGGGGGTTTTATCAGAGAATTTGCAATTTTCAAACAGGGAACACCAGGATCTCTGCTGGTGAGGTGAGTGGCAAGACCTGGGCAGAGGAGCCTGCCCAGGGTCTGCACTGGGGACCCACCTAGAGGGCAGACAAGGTGGCTGACCTGGCCATTTGGGGCCAAGAGGACACACTCTGACAAATCAAAGTGGGTCACCTCAATGAGCACATCTTCTGGATGATACCTGCTCAGATGGTGAGCGGGGGCACCCAAAGACATGACAGTGGTACCACACAAAGGCCAACAGTGCAGACATGGCCCACTAGCAGCTGGCCCAGAAGTGCAGGAGGCTCTGCTGCAGTGCCCAAACCACAGCCCAGGCAGCCGTGCGGTCCCCTTCTAGGTCTGGCAGGCGTGCAGCCATGGGGCCATAGGTCAAGGTGGGTGGATGCTGTCACAGGCAGCAGCAGGTCACAGCCAGGCAGCAGGCCCCACTGCCAGACTACTGCAGTTGGTAGCAGGGACCACTCTAGGTTAGGGTAATTCAGTTGGCACAGGGGGCTAGTGTCCCCAGATACCAACTGGCTGGGACACAGAAGCTCCTGAAGGCAAATAGTCCTGAGCTGCTTGCCAGAGCAGTTTTTTTTATGTGCCAGCCCCAGCCTCCAGCTCTTCCTTGTGGAAGATCTGGGAGGAGCTGGGCAGGGTCAGTTTGCCCCAAGTGGCACAACTTGCCCCACACTAAAGTGCATGTTCAGGCATGAGTGCTGAGGCACAAATCTCCTGCACAAATTTGTGCCGCTGCTATTGAATGCTGCAATCACACGTGCCTTTATGTATGAATGCACCCATAGGCCCCATGGAGTTTGGAGCTGAGACAGTTTTCACCATACCTCTGGCTGCAACATAAACTAGCAAATACCAGAAAATTTACAGCTGGAGCTGACCTTATCACCAACTATTGGACACACTTTACAAAAGGACACTGGCATGATGATTATGGACTGCACCAGTACTGATTGCACATTCTCTGAATTGTTGTGCTCTCTGTCATAGTCATTCTGCTGTCAGAGGGTGCATCCCCACATGGAGGGGTGTGTGCTTGCAGCGGCAAAAATAGTAAGAGCACAAATTTGCGGTGCTACGTTTTGCCGCAATGCATGCCGCTGCAAGAGCACTTGGGTGTGGGGAAAATTGCCCTGCTTCAGGAAAACTGCCCTTTTCACACTCCTCCTAGATCTCAGCATGCTGGAGGAGCTGGAGAACAACTAAAAGAGTGGAGATGCTGTGGCCAGCAGCCAGAGTGTCTCCCAGGAGGACCAAGCCTCTGCGTTTGCTGGTGCATGCTCCTCTCACATGTGCTGTGTTGCTTTTCTTCATGCTGGTTTTTTTTTGCTTCTGGGATTTCCTGGTAGCAAAATCTGCCCCTTCGCTGCAGTGCAGAGCATGTTTTAACATCCAGGCATGTAGATTGTGGTTCTGCAAAAGAGGTTTGCAGCACCAAGAACCACAAGTGCTTGCACGTCTGGATGCGGCCATAGAGGCACAGAAAAATAGGCCTGGAGGAGACCTCAGGGGGTCATGTAGTCCAGCCCTCTACTCGAGGGCTTTTTTTTTCGCCAGGAAAAAAGACAGGCTCAATGGCTACTTACAGTTGTGAAAAAACCCTACTTTAAGCTCAGCACCAACTGCAGTGCATGCCCAGAAGAGGCATCACAGTAGTTGGATCTGGCTCACCCAAAATCTGTATGGATTGGGTACTTCAGCAGGGCTTTTTGGTGCTTTTATCTAATAGTTGATTGAATCAGCTTTAGATAAAAGTGCCAAAAAGCCCCGCTGAAGTGCCCAGTCTATACAGACACTGCGGACCTGGGTTGAACTAACACGCTGCCTCTTCTGGTAAAGCGCTGTTTTGTTTTGTCACGTCTGTCCATGACCAACTTGTTCATTTTGTGAATAGGAACATCACAGACTCAAATGATAGTAGCTTGAGGCCCAATCCAGTAAGTTTGGAAAACTGAGTTACATATCAGGCACTCATGACAAGCAGTATTTCCCTCTTCAGAAGCGGGAGCAGGGGTGGTAATCAAACAGCACTGTTAAAAGACAGGGGAAAACACAGCAACACAAGAAACCTAAGACTACCACCCCAAGATCTCTCACGTGACCTGGGGTGAGAACAAACTACAACCCTCCACCCTTCATTAGGCACCACTCAGAGTTTGTTGACTTACCTCACAAAAGTCCAGGTTTGGGGCAGATCAGTCTCTTGTCCCTGCATGATATTATGAAGCTCAAAGGGATCAGTACCTATCTCAGCTGAAGCAACTA